ACTACTACCATCGTTTCATCCCGGATTTCGCGATCTATGCGACCGCGCTCTATTCCCTCACCGCGCGCGACTTTGAAGAGCGGGTCATGAATCCTGAGACGCGCGATCTGAATACGTGGACTCACGTGGAACGAGCGTTTGATACGCTCCGTAGTAAAATCGCGACTACACCCATGTTGAAACACTTTGACACGGATAAACGATCGTGTACGCGAGTGACTGGGCCGTATCGGCCGTCCTTGTCCAAGATCATGACGGGGTGTACCTGCCCGTCAAGTTCACCAGTCGGAAGCCCAACGAGTTGAACTACAGTATCGACGAGAATGAAATCCTGGCGCTGCTACGTGTCCTGAACAAGTGTCACAACATGCTGGCAGGGAGGACGATCCGCGTCCTAACCCGACATACGACTCTCGGGTGGCTCTTCCACTCTAAATGACTCCAGGGACGACTCTCATAATGGGCTGCAATCCTCTCGCCGTGGAGGTTGGAAATTCTCCGATCCGTAACTGGACAGGAAGCAATCCTGGGCACATTGGCCGCGAGCATCACACCGAGAGTCTACGTCGACTGCGCGCTAGAGGAGATGGTTCGAGCTGCCTCGGGGTATACAAAAGGTCTCACCGTGAACTAGGCTGAATATCGAGATATGCTGCTCGGCATCCCGCTGTTGGGCGACCTCAACGTTGCGCGACTGATCATCTGCGGGGATTCCAATCTGGTAGTACGTCAGATGCGGGGCGAGATGGACTGCAAGTCGCCCGGGCTAAAGCTGCTGAGACGGCAGGCATGGAACACACTACGATAATGGCCAGAGCTCGAGTTCCTCCACGTCCGGCGAGACTGGAACGCGAGCTCGGACATGTTGGCCGGACAGGCGCTCCAGCACCAACCAGATAAAATACCTATAACGTGGGAGAGCTGGAGGATCTGAGGACCCTGAACCTGCTGGGAGAAATTGTACGCCCAACGACGCACGATGCGGAATGCGGCGATCACGTCTTGAGAACTGAGACGTGCGATCCAAACAACCCCGTCTGGGAGGCTGAGCCGCGTGATCTAGATGACGTAGAACGCGGGACGAGAAGAGTTTATACCGTGATCACACGCTCACGGGACGCGTCGAATCCAGCGCCGAGGAAACAACCGGAGATCTTGAAAGAGCTCGAGATTCAACGACTCCGTCTGGATCGAGTCCGTACTGCCAAGAGGAGGAGTCTTGGATTGCCAATCTCAAGCAGTTTTTAGACGGGGACATCAGCGAACTATCCAAACGCGAAGCAAAGAATTGCGCCAAGATAGCGGAACAGTACGAAGTGGGGAAGAGCGGTTTGCTGTACTATCACGTACGTGGGAGCGAGGCCGCAGAAAATCGGGATATGATCATGAAACTTGTCGTTCTAGAGACCCTCCGAGAAGACGTATTGCACCACTACCACGCAAGTCTGGAAGACGGGCATCAGGGCATCGGTAGGACGTATCAACGGGTACGACAACATTTCCATTGGCCGGGGCTGTTCAAGAGCGTACAACGCCACGTCGGAGAATGCGTCGAGTGTGAA